GCCCGAGGGCATCCCCGCCCTCCTGGGTCCTGCTCCAACTCCCTGCGAGCCCCTTTCCGCCCGGGAAGGTTGGTGCAGCTCCTGCTCCTCCGGGACGGGGCTCTCCTGTCCTGGGGACACTCGCCCCGGCCTCAGCCCGGCTCCTCGCGGGGCCCCTCCCCCTCGGAGGCCTTTTGTTTCTTTATTTCTTTTTCCCCGTCTTCCTACCTTGATAGAAGCGCGAACTTTTCTCACTGTAGCATTCCAGCTGGTCTCTCTTTACATCTCAGGCCGAATTCGTAGATTTTCAGGATGGTTTGAAGGTTATCTAGGTAATTTGGTGGGGACAGGTGATTTGGGGACCCTGCTCTTCCGCCATCTTGCCCCTCCCCCCCTCATTTTTCTTATATTTTATTAGTTTCTGTACTTTCTTAATTTTTACTTCTTTCCACTCAATTACTGATGCTTTCCTGTTTCTAATTTCTCTAGATGGAAGTTTTGATCATAGACTTTAACTTTTTCTCTGTAATATTATACTTTTTAAATGCTATACATTTTTCTTTAAGTGTACTATTTTAGACCAATCTTACAATTTAAAACATGGTATTTTCTTTTTCATTTATATAAAACTCTTTTACAATTTCCCTTGTGATGTATTCCTTGAGTCACAAATTATTTAGATATGTGCTGTTTAATTTCTATTTATGATTTTTCCAGAAATATTTTCCACAGTTGATTTCTAGTTTAATGTTACTGTTTTCAGAAAAAAAATACTCTGTAAATATTTAAATCCATTTAAAATTTTTGAAATTTATTTTATGACTCAGAATACTGTCTATTTTTGTTACTGACCCATGTACACTTCATAAGATTATGTGGAATGCTGTTGTTGAGAGGAGTATTGCATAAATGATCATAGAAATGCATCTATCTTAGTCTGTTTGGGCTGCTGTAACAAAATACCACAGACTGGATGGTTTATAAACAGTAGAAACATATTTTTTACAGTTCTGGAATCTGGAAGTTCAAGATCGGGGTGCCAGCATGGTTGGGTGAAGACCCTCTTCTAGATTGCAGACTTCTTTTGTTAGTATGTGTGCTGCCCAAGTGAGCACTGGATTGCAGACTTCTTATGGTATTCCCACATGGAAGAGAAGACTAGGGAGTACTGTGGAATTTCTCTTCTAAGGGCACTAATTCCATTCATGAGGGCTCTGCTTCATGGCCTTATGACCTCCCAAAGACCTCACCTCATAATACCATCACCTTTGGGGTAGATTTCAACATATGAATTTTGGGAAGGACACGAATATTCAGACCATAGCAATGTCCCAATGATGTCATCTTCCCATTTCTCACCCTAGTCCCTAGTCTTGTAGAATGAGCACAGGTCCAGCACTGAACAATTGCAACTTCTGGTTTCTCGGCTGATGTTTTGAATTTGAATTCTTGTACCACTACATCCCAATTTCCTTACCCATAAAATGGAAATTAAAACAATATGGCCCGTTGGGCCAACCATAAATTGAAATAACATATTCAGGGTGGGGGTGGGCATGTGGAAGGAAAGGAAAGATATAATCTTCAGCTTTTTTTAGGCCAAGATATTTTATAGAAAATCTATATGTCTTCATCATTTAGTATGGTCTCCCCTTCCTCACCACATCCAATTTTTAAATGAACATTGAGATCTCACTTTTTTCTAAAGTAAAGAAGTATAGAGCTACCTTTCTCTGTTATTAGAAACATCCTTGAGAAGTATTTTCCTTTTCTCTCCCCCTCAACTAATTTGCTAGCATCATTACGTTAATTGGTACATTACATTGTAATGGAATCACTTAGGTTGCTTGTGGCCACTGTTGCAGCATCACTGAACTTCCTATTTATTATTGCTTCTCAATTTAAAAATTGAACTATAAATCACTGACTTCTTTAGCATTTATAGCTTGGTTTCCTTCAAGTAAAACACAGTTTCAGCATCTTTTCTGAAAAGTCATGAGTCATTGTTTGTTCAGACCCAATAGTCTAAATTTAAAAGCTGTAGCACAGGGTTCTGTAGGAGGGAGACAGACAGAGGACCCTAAAGTGCTGACTCATAATAGAGCACCACTCTGATGAAGTCCTAAGACAATCCAAATTATGATCTGGTTCAAAATGAACTTATACCACAGAGAATGAAGTTACTGAAATAGGCAGAAATAGAGGCTGCGTGCCACGGCCATCCACAAATCTTTGAACTGGTAGCAGGATGACTTGAACTAAAATGCAGCTCTAACCAATCTAAAACCCAATCAAAACCACTGCAGATTCCTCTATGGTAGCTTGAGGAATGCCTCCTCGATTCTCTGACTTACAATCATACAGTCTTGCTAGGATCCATGGCTTAAGAGAATGTTAAAAATGTCATGATACGTCAGGAGGAATCACTCAAACGATGAAAGCATATCTCAAAAAAGAGTGGATTCAAAGATGTGAACATATAGACAGACATTTCCAAGGAAATAAATAAGACTTTTGACTGACCCAGGACCCACTGGATCAGTGGATCCAGTAAAACCATATCTAGGAAGGTGAGTAGGGCTCCAGACTTCACCTGCATTCACTATATTGCTGCCTTGCCCTTATCCAAGGGCTTCTATTGCTTTAGGAAATAAACTGAGGATAAAGCTAGGAAAGTGGCTACACCCTGGGCCTCCTTCCGTCAGTAGTGCTCCTGGAATACAGGCAAAGGAGCATTTCATTTTGTGGAAGTCAGAAGCAGTACAAAGTTGGTAAAGGCTCAAGTGTATAGCAAACACACTTAAGAACTGGGACAATTCAAAAAAGGCTTAGCTTCTGTGCTCAAATAGCTTATCTTCTGGCAAGAAATAAGGAAAACCCATTTGGAACAAGAGTGAACATAATCAGGTTATACATAATTTAGTGATAACTCATCACTCCACTAATTCCATTTCATTTAGTTTTCACACCTTGCCTCACATAAATACTTCTCTAGGGACTGAAATTCTCTTCATTCCTCTTGGTGCTTAAGGGAAGGCTACTTGAGGACAAAGGTCCATGTCTCTCACTTGCCTTTACCCTTATGCCCTGGGCCTGATATATGTAATATTCCATTTATTATTTTATTTTTTAAAGTGGTTAAGAATATAAAAGAAAGATTAATAGAGATGAAGTAGTCGCAAAATTCAACATAAAAAATCTTGATCTTGAACTCTAGGACTTGGCATATAGGAGGCTTGCAATATGTATGTTGTTTGAAGAGATAAAGTATTCCAGGAGAGAAAATAACATCAGCAGAGAGGCATGAGAATGGCATATTGATGAATCTGAGAGAGGTTAGCCAAACTAGAGCTAAAGCTGGATCACATGAAATAACAGGAAGTAAAGATTGTGAGGATAGACAAATTATGGGTCTGAGAAACTCAGAAGAGAAGCTTGGGTTTCTAGAAAACAGGGAGTCTTTGAAGGTTCAGGGACCACTGAACTGTGGAACAAGAGTGTCTGAGGAAGATGAATAGCCATGGCCTATACGATGAGCTAGGGAAGAAGAGGAGGCCTCACTGAGTCTAGCTACGAGCCCATGCCAGCCACCCAGGTGTGAAGTGATGACTGGGACGGGTAGGGGTGGGGGAGGTGATGGAAAGGAAGGGGTGTGGATAAGAGGCATTTCAAAGGAAGACTCAGCAGGATTTAATAAACACTTTTCAGTAGATCAAAATCACTGGGCTTACCACGTCTGCAACAGAAGAGATAAGAAAATGACTAACACTTGTAGAAGGAGCAAAAGATAGAAGGCTTAGGGAATAGAAGCCAGGCCTGGGGGTCAGCAACCCATGACCTTGCTCAGTGCACTTGTTAATTCATTCCTTAAAATCAGGAGGTCGCTTCACCATTAAAACTTGCTAGCCTCTTGCCTTCTGGTGTTATACAAGTTCTAAAATGCAAAGAGAAAAGACACCCTGGTCCTTGCCAGTGGCAGGCTTTCTGAAGTTTTCTGGAACTGCTAACCTCTCAAGGTAGAATTTTCCTGGACTTGCCCAACCCTTCCCACCTGGCCATCTCCTCTGAGGCCAAGGACACCCTAAGATAAGTACCCAAGAATGCCTTCACCTGCCAGAAGATTTGGGTCCCTGAACAACAGGAACAGGTGACAACAGCTCTCAGTTTATTTCAGCACACACTCAATGTGCTGTGTGGAAAGTGTGAACTCACTGAGTTGCAGAAATCCACTTCAGCATACATACAAAAGAAAGTACAATAGAATTAAGTTAAAGCAGAAAGTGAAGTACAAAAGTATCATCCATTATTCATTTTCTTTACATTTCTGTTTGTGGAGATACTGCATTTGCTATAGATTCTGAGGGTCTCATTAGTGCTCCCAGCATTGCTATATCTGTTCAAGAGGAAATGGTCCATGACGAGATAAACTGTGGTATAGCCACACAACATTCAGTGGAAATGATGTCATGGAACAATGTGCCTGATACAATTCATGATAAAATTTCATCTGCTACAAAAAAGAAATGATAATTGCATGACATGCCAGAGGTGTTAAGTTATGCTACAGTGGCAATTATATGTTGCAAGATATATATACCAACCAACATGTTATACACCTTGAACGTACACCATGTTATACGTAAATTATCTCAGTAAAAATAAATTAAAAAAAAACTTCATCCATGTGGACAAAGCTCAAAAACAAAACAAACAAGTTACAAAAGGATATATATGTCAGAATTCTATTATGTAGTCTAAAAACTTGAAAGGAACACTTTTTTTTTTTTGGTTAGGGACCCATTTATATATATATATATATATATATATATATATATATATATAAATAAATAAACTTGTATCTGGAGGAAGAGAGAAAGATAGGGTATGGGAAAACAGAATAGGGTGTATACAGGGGCTTCAACCATACTTGTGATGATTCATTTCTTTAGCTGAGTAGTAGGCATATGGGTGTTCTTTACAGAATTCCTTTCACCTTTCTGTACTTTGAAATATTTAACAACCTATTTTCTTTATGCCTTCAATTCTTTCCTGGGAAGAAGAGTGGAAGCCCACGCTGGAGCTGTGTCTTCCCACCACCTAGAAGTCGTGGCACTGTCCTTCCTCTTCAGTGTGGGAGAGACCTGCATCCATGGCAGGGAGACAAAAAAGAGAGAGGAGACGCTGGCATTAGGTGTTGAGTTACTAAAGGGACCAATACCTTTCATTCAACCCTTACTAATAAACTTTTCAAAGTCCATACATTTTTATTTTTGCTGGACAAAAGTTCTATTCCAGGAGGAGGAGGGGCATCACTTCTTAGCATTCCTGAGCACAAGATGGGGTTTCTTCCCATTACAATGCTTAAGAGGGCAAACATGTGAGAGTCTCCAAAAATGCTCAAATGCCTGCTTCTTGCTGGCCCACAGAAAGGGGATTAGTAAAGCACCATTAACCCCACAATGAAAACACATCAGTTTAAGGTTTTCTTTCATCCTAAACCCAGTTTATAAACACAGCCTTATCACAGGGGAATGTTTATCTGCATGTGTTATAAGTAGATTCCCAAAAAAAGCAACAGTAGCTAATAAAATTAAATATGATGTTGGAAAATCTATCTGCTCCTTCCAGCAAAAATGACACAGGAGACAGGCCAGAATGTGGTTTAGTTCAAGCATCTTTACTCTAGTTTATTTAGAAGCTTTATTAAGAAGTTAAAGAAAGCCAGAAGTTTGAACCTAAGAATCTCCTATTCTTCCAATTACTTACACCAAATGTCTAAAGCAAGGCAAAAGATTGAGCTTTTTAATGGCTTAGCAGCGCCAAGAGTTAAGACACATTCCAGTAATTTATGATCATTTATCTGAGAAGTGGTTGATGACAAAGGAAACTTAATTACAGCTTTCTTCTCCTCCCACTTCCAACCACCCAAGAGGTCCTTGAGCTTCTGATTGTTTTTATTTATTCTAAACTTCCAGAGGCTAATTTGACTAAAGACCTTAACTAAACTTGACTTTTCTAAAAGCTTTCCTTCAAGGGTTAATAATGTTTTTCTATCACTATCATCATTTCTCGCTGGAGGGTCACATGTGTTATGCATAATTACTAATGATATGATGAAACAAATGGAGAAACAGTGCAGACTTTCACTCCCAAAGGCCAAGTGCAAATTTAAATCTGTCTCAGTTCTCCAACATCATGCATATAAATCTGTACTCTGTGTGCCATACAACATTCCTGGCAATACCAGGATCACAGCTAAAGAGACTTGAAAGCAAAACATAACTTACCAACTATTCTTTTCCTCTGGTGCGTGGGTGGGGCTAGGGTCAAGTCAATAACGAAACTAAGTGGGGTACCTGGGTGGCTCAGTGGTTGAACATCTGCCTTTGGCTCAGGTCTTGATCCCATTGTCCAGGGATCAAGTCCCACATGAGGCTCCCTGCAGGGAGCCTGCTTCTCCCTCTGCCTATGTCTCTGCCTCTCTCTCTCTGCCTCTCCTTAATAAATAAATAAAATCTTTAAAAAAAAATAATGAAACTAAGTATGCAATATTTTCTAAACTGGAGGCTGTGGGCTCTGAACAATTGATGCAATCAGAAAGACAAGAATATTTGAAGTTTGAACTCTCCTGGAGTGTTTGGGATATGTGGTTTCCATGGATAGCTGAGGGCCGAAGCAGGGAGACCCAAACATACACACTAGGACCCTAAGTGCAGAAAGAGAACTTTTTGATTTTCTGTAACTGACAACTGTTCTCTTGATCTCCTTTGCTTTCCTAGGACAGACAACTTACCCTACCTATTCCATTCAGGTTTATATAGTCTGATCTAATGATCTGTAGCCAAACCTGAGTATTACTATCTCAGCTACTATCAAATTGTCACATCTGGTTTATATATCAGCCATCCAGGGCTTCTACCCCTTCCTTTTTTCCTGTCTTTTTTCTTGGAGTTAACCTAATATCCTGGCTTTTACATTGTTCTGGTGTTGAGAAGGAGCACCCAGTCCTGAGCAGTCCCTGGTTTGGGTTTCTCACCTCACTTGGTCTTTGAGCATCAACTTCTCTCTTTGCCATGCCCACTGTGGTGTGGCTTCTACCTAGGAGTGTCAGGCTAGAATCCACAGACTTCTCCATTCCTTCCAACTAGGTGTAGACCTCTTGCCTCCTATCCAGTCCAAGCTCTTTCTGATTCACTAGTTTGCCTGTCCTTCTGTGTCCTTGCCTTTCTCCTGAGAATTCTCAGTTACTTTCTCTGTATCACTATATAGCGTATGGAGTTCTGGAGCCTACCCAGCTCTACCTCCAGAGCACCTCCCTGAGACCTTACTGTTTCACTGCTCTAATCCCATGGGTTGAATTTCTCTGAGTGACTTGCCAGTTTACAAAGAAAACCTAGCACATTTCCTGATACTTATTTTCAGATTCCTTCCAAATCTATCTGGGAATTATCTTTCTGTCCCTAGTCCAGGGTGTTGATCTATGAAAGGAAGGAGAGAATTAGTAATACTTTAAGGATAATAGTTTGGAGAAGGATTACCCAGAACAAAGGATAATGAAGGTTTTATTCATTCACTTATTTATTTATCCATTCATTTATAAATTTTGGCTGTGCTAAACACTGTGCTGATTATGTAAGTGTAAGCAAGACATGGTCCATGCTTTTAAGGAATTCCTAGGCTAGCAGGGAGCAGGCATGTTAGCAGGTATTTTCAGGGCACACTGGAGACATACAAAATGTAAACAGATATCTGTACAGAATGGCAGGGTTGTATGGGAATTTAGACAAGTTCTCTTAGAAAAGCTGATGCTTCCCTTAAGTCATGAAGGATGATTGGGCTATTATCAACAGGAGGACAGAGATTTTTGTCAGTGAGAACAATAGGAGTAAAAATGTGGGGGCATGAAACAGCATTAGAGAGCTACAATTATGATACAATTTATTAAAGCTGGAGAAAAGTTGGAGAAGTGGGGAAAAGTCAGGAGAAATATCAGGAAATTAAGGAGTTTTGGGGTGTTATCATAAGCACTGGAAAACCACTGAGTCTTTGAATAAAGGGAGAGATATGACCTCTTACCTTGTAGAAAGATTACTCTTGCCATAGTGAAGAAAGTGGACTTGAGTAGGTCAAGATTGGAAGTAGGGAGGTTGGACAGGAAATGATGAGAATGTGAGTGAAGGGAGCAATTGTGAGAAAATAGGAGAGAATAGCAATGAGAAATACTTAGTAGGTAGAACTGAGAAGACCTGATTACTTGCTAACAGGAGAGAAAGAATTTGGCAATGACTGGAAGTTTGGTGGGAGGGATAATGGTGAAATTTGCAGAGATAAAGAGTTTAATACAGGGAATAAATAGACTTTATCAAGCTAGTTGTTTAGTTCAGTTTTGAGCATACTAAGTTTAGGGAGTTTTTGAGACCTAAGTTTAGGTCTGTGCTAATTGAATAGATTTGAAAGTCATAACACAGAGATTGTATTAATGACTGTGTCAACCTTTGCATGCTTGAACATGTCTTTATTTTGGACCAATAATTTGACTGAGCATAGGATTCTAGGTGGAAGTTCTTTTCTTTTATGGGTGTGAAATATTGATTGATGTTCTATCATATAGGCTTATTGATGAGATGTCCAATTTCCACTTTAGTTTTATTTCCTTTTATTTCTCTCCCATCTCTGGAAGAACACTAGTAGTGGAAAACAACGAACAAAGATTAAAACTTAGTAATACGAGCATTTTAGGAGTTAAGAAGAAGACACAGAATCTTATAAAACAATCTGAGGAAAAGGACTCAAAGAATCAGGAAAGTGCCAAGTATTTAAAGGAAACTTTTCAAGAAAGAAATAATCAACAATGTCAAATTCCAGAAAAATCAAGTAAAATAAGCCAAGAATGGGCCAGTTAGATCTGGCAACCTGTGAGTCATAGGTGACATTCAATAGAACAGTTTTAATGAGTATTGGGTTGGAAACTGAATGAGGGACCTCCAATTCAAAATGGCAGACTGAACACACACATCTGTCTCCCTTGTCACCCAACTGAGATGATTGGAAGAATTACAAAGGAGTCTAACTCCATAACTGCCCTGAGAATAAGAAAGAGAGGTCATCCGCATACCAAAAATTTTGACAAATTTCTGGAAAACAAAAAGTAAACATCTGCTTACTTTGTGACTAAGCAGAACCAAGTAAGCTAAATCCCAAAGATGCATAGAAAGGCCAAAACAAAATAAAACACCATACTCTTCCCATGGGACCTGGAAAGTTCTGAGACTGGAGTTGGAAGGTCAATTACAACTCAAATCCAGAAAGAGACGTGAAAGATACTTTTAATGTATATGAGCAACAATGTAGAAAATGTGTGAAGGAATGGCTTTTGAGGTGCTGGATTAAATTGGGTATAACACAATTTTCAAACTGGTCAAATTTATAGGTATGAAATTTCTAATCAGAAATGCAGTGTGCTGGTTAGAGCAACTTGGTATGGTGTAACTGTTTGCATGGTTGGAGGAATGAAACCCAGAGTCAGCTACGACCCTTGACGAGAGGCTAGAATGCCATAGGTTTCCAGAATAATGTAGAAAATGGAAACCAAGAATGTAGAAAGGGGACTTACTATGGACTATGTACTCACCCTCCCCTTAAATATATCCTCCAAGAGGGCATAAGAAATTATTTTTTTACCAAGACACTAAGAAATACATTGGTGAAGGGAGTGCCAGCATCTTTGAAATGTGTGATTATAGCTGTTCTCCACAGGCTAAAAGGCTGGTGGGAAATACAGCAGTATAAATGGGTTCCTGACTTCATTAGGCAGTCTGAAATTTTACTCTGCTTAACAATTAGCTTTCTAGTTTCATAGATTATGGTAGAAAACACAAGACCCCCAAGTTAAAGACAAGGGATTTGTTAATACGTGGTATGCCAAGCACCATGAGCATACGTACAGCAGTTTTCCTTGCCCCTAAATTCCTCAGGGGTAATTCAGATGAACTCAAATCAATACATGAATATGAAATGGGTTGCATTTCAAGAGAGGAATGGTGTGATGAGGGAACTTGAATCTTTAATAATAGGCAGTAAGCATGCTTGCCCTTTGATGGAAGGGAGATTCTACCTCTGTCTTCCAAAACTGTAAGCATAC